GGGATAATGGAAGTACATGAGATATTGGATAACACTGAACTCTGATCCCGCAGGCTTTGAAAATTTCCATTAAAATATTATGTTTCAGTGTTATTGTCATCCATACTTGTAAAGCTTGTGTTAGTTTGAGTGAAAAATATACTATATAGTTGTTGTTTTTTTAAACAAGCACTTTGAAAGCAACACAAAAATGCATTCAAAATACTTGTATTCCAGAAGAATTTTATATATGCTTTTGAAAAAACAACAAACTAACGCAAACTACCTCGTTGCACCAAATAAGGAGGAAACTTTCTCCCCTACAACCCCAAATTTGGAGAAGAATGGAAATGGTCCAATAAAAAGTGTTTTAGACTCTTGTGTCGGCAAGCTGGTAACTAGCTGTAGTAAAATCTCGAAGAATTTATTAGTTAAATATATTTCCCGGAAAATAGATCTACGATGTTGAAAATATATAAGTTTTAAAACTCTTCACCAACTCGGGATGAGCAACTGTAAAAAGGAGATGATTCTCAGAAAACAAAATCTGATGTTTATTGTTATCTCCAGTTTTCATATTACCGTGACACAATTTTCCTAACCATATAAGGCTTAGTTTCAAAATTACCATGACACAACTTTCATTAAGATACAAGGCTTAATTTTAATATTTGACACAACTTTCATTAAGAGACAAGGCTTAATTTTAATATTTCACACAACTTTCATCATGAGATAAGGCTTAGTTCTAATAATACCGTGACACAACTTTCATCACCAGACAAGGCTTAGTTTTAATATTACCGTGATACAACCATTATCACCAGACAAGGCTTAGTTTTAATATTACCATGATACAACTTTCATCACCAGACAAGGCTTAGTTTAATATTACCGTGACACAACTTTCATCATGAGATAAGGCCACGGTAATATTAAACTAAAAACAACTTTCATCACCAGACAAGGCTTAGTTCTAATATTACCGGAACTCAATCTTTATCACCAGACAAGGCTTAGTTCTAATATTACCGTGAAACAACTTTCATCACCAGACAAGGCATAGTTCTAATATTATCGGAACTCAATCTTTATCACCAGACAAGGCTTAGTTCTAATATTACCGGAACTCAATCTTTATCACCAGACAAGGCTTAGTTCTAATATTACCGGAACTCAATCTTTATCACCAGACAAGGCTTAGTTCTAATATTACCGGAACTCAATCTTTATCACCAGAGAAGGCTTAGTTCTAATATTACCGGAACTCAATCTTTATCACCAGAGAAGGATTAGTTTTAATACTAGTAGAACGTGTCGAAATGCGTAGCGTTGTGGTATTTCACTCGATTCGCACTCTTATCTACTCACACAAAAAAAGTCTCTGCTCTTTCTAAAAGTTCTTTTAAAACAAAAACCAGCTCCAGCTATGGTAATACTGCGAGTACTCGTTCCATCTTCAGCGGTTTTAAATAGTCATCTCTGTTTACGCACTTATTAACAGCAGAACACTATAGCACCCTACCTTCAAAAGTTTGAATTAGTCATCATGTTTTTGCACTTCAAGAGAATTCTCAGAACTGAACAAAATTATAGAAAACTGCAATGTAAATCTATTCAAAACTCAAAACAGATTCAAACATGCTTATTCTCGTACGAGTTTCTCTGAAATATATAAATGTAACAGATTTTTATCAACGTAAAATGACTTCAAATACTATGAAAATTGGCTTCTAAAAACCATTTTGACGGTATGATTTAAATATTTTGCATTAGAAAATTGCTTTTTGGTTAAATTTTACCAACAAATACACCCAGAAATTAACGTGTATCTTTATGAGTTACTCTTAGTACTGTTTGCTGTTAAGCGCAAAGCTACACGATGAGCTATATGTGCTGTGTCACCACGGGTATCAAAACCCGGTTTTTAGCGTTATAAGCTTACGGAAGCTGTGCTTCTAGGAAGCTAAACCTATATACATAATTATTTTTTGTGTGTTTCTTTTTCTCCCCTTCTTTTACGGACAAACGGTCTTTTTTTTAAATGATTTTATTCTGCTAATAGAACGTTGTCTACTAGATGTTTACAAACTTCCTTATAAACATAGATTTTTAAACGATCGAATGACCAAACCCTGGACAAAGCTACGTAAAACAGTGATAAAATATTGGTTTAATTAAGTCCAACACCCCGACGGGTAGACATTCGTTTTCCTACATTGTATTATTTGTAAGATAAGGTAACCGTGACACAATTTTTCACCAACAGAAAGGTTTAGTGTTGTGCAATAGGAATTTAAAAATAATCTTTTTCACCGGTTAGCCAGAGGGCTTATAACACTATAATTCTGGGCTCGATCTTAGCGAAGAGCAAAGCTCAAAAAGACTCGATTATGCATGTTTGCGCTGAAAACAAAACAAAACAAAAAAATGAGACCGATGGAGCGGGAAGTTTGCTCTATTAAATAGAAACAAATAACTTAACTGAGAAAATAATAAGCGACGAAAAATCATTTGTTGAAACAAACTTTGTGGTTTAAAGGATTGTTCTGTTTGTTTGGTTTCATTTCGCGCAAAGCTACACGAAGGCTATCTGCGCTAGCCGTCCCTAATTTAGCAGTGTAAGACAAGAGGGAAGGCAGCTAGTCATCACCACCCACTGCCAACTCTTGGGCTACT